TTTAGGGTTTAGGGTGTACCGTTTAGGTTTAGGGTTTAGGGTTTTAGGGTTTAGGGTGTACGGTTTAGGGTGTACGGTCTAGGGTTCAGGGTTTAGCGCTTAGTAGGCACAGGCCTGTTCACGGAGGGTGTAGAGCCAACGTTAAGGCAGAGCGTCGGGCTTAGGCACCTTAATGCTGCTTAGGGCTCAAGGTTTCGGACCAGGTTTAGGGCTTAGGGCGTCGTGGCTGGGGGTTTGGATGGGTTTGGCTTTCTGTTCAGGGCTCCTCGGTTTTCGCCCCGCAGCCTCCGAGTAAGAACGTTAAGTCAAGTCCTTTATGAAAGCACTTAGGACCCATGACAAGCTAAACGGCTAGATACAAAAGCGGCGGCACCCTAGCAAAGTGCCTGGAACATCGAAAAACCTCAAAAATACTAATAAAAAAGTGCTACACAAGCCCAGAGAATCTTAATGGATGCGAACAACACGAGAAGCCACCAAAGCGACAAACTCCTACAAAGACCCTGCTCCTAAGGCCGTAGCTTATGAAATAAATGACCCTGAATATTCTCCAAGGCACAAGAAAACTAGCGCTTCAATGCCTGGTTTGGGCCCCCTCCCCTAAACCCTAAAACTCAAAACCCTAGACCCCAAACCCTAAACCCCGTGCCCGGGGGCAGACCCCCAAACCCTTACCACCTAAACCGTAACCCCAAAATACATCTTAAAATAACAAACCCTTCGACCCCAAACCCTGAAACCGAGTCGGAACATCGGTTAAGGACGGCTACTGGTAGCGCTTGGGTCTCCCCATGCTTTACCTTAGAAGCAAGATGAGGATAATGAAGTGGTAATGACCTTCCAACTTTCTGGATTCTACTATAGGCCCCTAAACCCTATATAAGCCCTAAACCCTAAACCCTAAACCCTAAACCCTAAACCCTAAACCCTAAACCCTAAACCCTAAACTAAACCCCAAAACCCTAAACCCTAAACCCACCCCTCCATGGGAACCCTCATACTGGGCTTTGAAGTAACCAGGGAGAAAAAAGTATAGACTTGTATT